TACTTTAATAGGAATACAACTGGAAAGCACACTTGTCAAAGGAGTAAGGTGGATAAACATGCAAAAATATATCAAATCGTCAAACATCTAAAGAAAAAACATTAAATGCGCGTCGAAATTAACTGATGTATGAACCGATTCGCGAAACATACTGAACTAATCAGGTAAATGGCCATGCGTCAAATTAATCGTTCAGGTGATCAACATGCAGTACGTCAGACCGGAAGGGCGTTTACACAGATAGACGACTAATTCGAAGGACGACTAACAGTAAGAACAGCTAAGAACTAACGGGACAATAGCCACATGAAAGACGAACGGACTCACGAACAAGATAGCGACAAGACACGATGTTTTGACAGGTGGGCTTCACTCCGAGATTATAGTTAAATACTATGTTTCTTTACAGAAAGAACAAGCGAATAATGGTAGACGAAGGACTCGCATTCTATAACTTTCTCTTCATGAGAGCATGAGTTTCTACTTCCTTAGAAATACATTAAATGAATATTCTTTCTCGCAATATTTTGTTTCTATTATTTTAGTTACGAGAGGAGTAGGATCAAATTTCAGCGTTATAGGTGTTGGTCCCTCCTCATGACGCAGGAAATATACAAGAAATATGATATACCCGGAAACTATCGTTTTGCAGTATATAATGTGAAATTAATTAAAATACAATATATTAATATTCCTGAAGTCAGTAATATCCAATAACGAAAACACCCTTACAAAGTTTAACTCTCCACGAAACGACGTAGACACGAAAACATGAATTAAAAATATATTCCTACCGTATTTTTAAGAAGACTTTCACTTTCGATTCTTGAAGGTTCGGCTCTTAGCTGTCAAACAAGATACATACGTAACAACGAAATAAAAAAAGTCACGCACGAAGAATTCTACTCGCTTCATTATATGAACTGTCAAAACTAATTTCTAACCGCCTTATTGAGTGCCAGAAAAATGAAAATTATTTAACGAAATCGAAAATTAAGAATGGAGGGACTAACAAGAACACAAGTAGAGGGGGCGACGAGACGATAGCGAGCGCCTCCAGGGAACCGAAAGCAGCCTCTTCGGTGGCGAAGCGACTCGCTCGCCGGTCGTCGCCCGCTCGCCTGCGTCTGTGGAAGGACGTTTATGATTACGGCTCAAAGGGAGAGAACGGCCCTCATGCGGTGAACAACGCTTCAGGTTAAAGGGAGCGCCGGAGGAGCGCTGGTCGCCCGCGCCGGCCTCTCCCGTCTCTCCAGGCTCCCGGCGGCGGCGGCGGCGGCACGGCGCGACGCCGCACCGCGCCGCGCCTCTTTCGCCTTCCCCGCTGTGCGCGCACCCCGACGCCGGCCGCGGGCGCCCGCCCCGGTGGGCACCCGCCCACCTAACCCGCTCCCTGCGCGACTCCACGTAGGCACGGCGCGAACGAACGAACCGACGACGTTGCGGCGGTGGGGCGGGCGACTGACGAATGGAGATGGGGAGGGTGACGAGGACGCGGCGACGTGTTGCCGGGGGGGGGGCTCAACCCGCGGAGGTGGCTGGCCGCTCGCGTAGCACGGCGGACACGAGCGAGGGATGGGTTGACGGCGGCGTTGGCTATTATGACAGCGGCAGCGACGGCGCCGAGACGGCCTTACGGCCAGGAGCCAGTAGGGGAAGACCCCTCTCCTCAGTTAGGGCGTTTGCTAATTCCCTACGGCCAAAAGCCAACCGAGAGAGAGGAAAGGCGGCGGCGGCTGGCAACGGAGGGCAAGGAAGACGAAGGAGCGGAGGCCGCCTGGGCCAGACGCGAGCGAAGCAGGTTCTCCGGCCGGGGACGTGTGCCCCGGCTGGGGCGCGGGGCGGCGGCGGCGGCGCCGCGGGAGCCGCGCAGGGCGCGAAGGGGGAGAGGGAGCGCGGCAAGCGAGCGGCGGCTGCCGCGTGGAGGGCAGCCGGCGACGAGTGGCGGAAGCGGCGAGGGTGGGCGCGACAAGGATCGCGCGGCCCGACACTAGTGGAGAGAGGTGACGGAGAAAGACCGTGGCAGCGCGCGCAGGCACATGACAGGAAGGCGAAGTGTGCGGAAATTGCCGAGAGGGCATGGCGCGCTGCGAGATGTTGTCTGGGTGTTAGTGTCGGAACAGGCAGCGGTGTGGCGCGGGGAGCTCTTGCCGTTGAAAGAGCAAGAGAAGAAGATTGGGAAAAATCTGGGCAGGAGAAACGGCCACGAGATGGCGTGAAACCAAGGCCGACAAACGGCGAGGAAATAAAACGAACCTCCACAATGAAGGGTGCGCGGAGTGGAAGTGTGGGGAGTTTGTGGCAAAGGACGACGGAGTGGGTGCAGTATCAGATGGCGAGTTGCTGGCAAAGACTGAGGTTGGAAACGTGGTGAGGCGGCGCTCGAGGCCCCAGGGCGCGGGCCGAGACGCGAAGGCAGTGCGCGGGCGAGTGCCAGGCGCGCGGCTGCAGGCAAGCGGTGGCTGGCGGCGGGCGGCGTGCGCGCGCGGTGGGCGGGTGGCGGGGCGCCATGAATGCCAAGAATCGAATCGATGGCACGCATTTCGCTGAACGAAGCGACGTCGCGTACGCATCTGCCCCGTGGCGCTCCCTGCCCCTAGCCGCCGAGCGGAGCCCCGCGCCGGCCGTCGCAGCCACCCCGCCGCCAACCCCGGCTTCCCGCTCGGGCCAGCCCCCGCACGCCGCCCGCGGTGCGTGAGGGACTCCGGGTCGCGCTCGCGCGAGCCAGCGGATCCCGGGCGGCGCGGGTGAGCGCGCGGGCCGGGGGAGCGCGGGCGGGGGCGCGGGCGGGGCTGGGCGGCGCAGCGTGGGGGAGCGGGGGGCGGCGGCGCGGGGGCGGCTGCGCGGGGGCGCGGGCGCTGGGCACGAGAGCGCGCGGGGGCGGGGGGGCGGGCGGTCCCGCGGGTCAGCAGAAGTCAGCGGCCGTCGCCGCCGCCGCCCCGGGGGCAACACTTCGGCCGAGTAGGCCACGCAGCTGCGCGGCTCTGCAAAAGTACCCTGACGATGTTAAAACGGGTAAACAAGTGTAAATAAGGACTGCGACTGGTTGGCTGCTCTGAGCCTCCTGGATTGTTCGACGTGTTAGAAAGCATTACAATGCATAGACAATACCAGAGATACGTATCCGCGTGCACAACGTCGTAGACTGGAGGAAGCCAGGAAACGAGTGGGTGACTTATCTTAGTACTCGGGCTTCAGTTTCATGAGACATTGATACGGCTGAAGGATTTCCGGCAATCTAACACATGGTGGTATGTGCACTACAAATATGGATATTATTAAAAACAACTGTCTTAATTCCGAAAGACACATTTAGATGACAAAATCGTTACTCTAAATACACTTCTTTGTACTGGCAATCGAAGAAGAAAATATTATGATTATAATGCTCAATATCATAGGGAGCACAGCAGTGCAGCGTGCTACTTAGAAGAAATTAACGGATCGATCGATTAACGTTTTGGTCTCCAACAAGTATTTGTTTTATTTGTCACTACTGTTAAAATATTATTCACGTATCCAAAAATGAATCGTTAGAAACTTGCTGTGCATACTGGCAGAATGAAATGATGACTTAACTCAAAGCAAATAAGTAAAACGCTTTTATTCAATGAATTTTATAATTTTAACATCCCTGATGCAGTAGAACAAAATTTACTAGTCGTAACAAAGACAAACTACAATGCAATGATAATTCATGCATTTGGCATGGATATATAAGGCAGTTACACACTTGCGGGGTTAAAAGAATTCTGTCATTGTAATTATTATTTTAGAAGTGATTAGTAATGTGTTGATTGCGATATTTCTTAAGAAATATTGTTGAATTACAGATTGTGAGAAGTATATGCAAATTATGTTATTTAATAGGCCGTTCTGATAGTTTCAACTTCAAAAACAAAATGTCACGTACATTTTCATGTGAGGATATAACCACATGAACCCAAAATTATTAGCCCTCCTGACATTAATTTCGAAGCCAGTGTGCCACCAAAGGAGCACAGGGTAGAATATAGGTAGGAAAGCGAGGCCGATGAACCCCGGCCGAACATAGAGGTCCGTCAGCCCGTACGTCGATAGTGGAGTGTGGCGAGCGAAGAAATGTGGATCAGCTGTAGTGTGCGAAACCAAATGCCATGGGGTGGGCGCCAGCAAAGGATACTCGTCTAGTGAATACTAAAATTAAAAGTTATCAAAAGCGGATTCGGGCAGGAAAAGTGTTAATTTTGCTGGCGTTGCATGCGATGTTTTGATACGAAAGTATCACAACAGGACGTGTATCTCGTTCAGAGGCCATACGAGGTAACGTGCGGCTACGACTAGTTGACAGCAAAAACCATCAATGAAAACTTCGTCACACAAGAATAATACAAATACACGTTTGTTGTGCGGTTTCCAAAACATTTTTTTTGACAAGTGTTCACTGTTACTGTTAAACCTATTGATCGCATTATCCGTGCAGACTCTGGTAGAGCGAAATGCAACGGTTGTGGGTAGAAGCGAACGCACCGGGACTCAGGCCTGTCATTAGCTCGGTACGAAAACTTATAGAGGCTCATTTTTACACCCATATAAAAATTTTATACAATATTATGCTTTGTTCGTTAAATGCCGAAACTGACACACGATTTCATTTTTACAACAACGAATAATTTAAAATGTCACAATTAAATGTATATGTTATTCACATTCATATCGAGAAGCACGTTCTTATTTATCAATGACAAATACCTCAACGAACGCTTACTGGAAAGCCACACGATAAGCACTACGTGTTTTACGTGCTCGTAAACGTTCGAACCCCACACTTTTGCACAAAGCATCCTCCTATCAGCACGGCGTATCAGCGAACCAAAACCACAGGAAAATATAGGTTATGTTCATGTGCTGCGCGGCACGGAAGGTGTGAACACAGGCATGTAGGTCGCAAATCCAACGCACACATATAACATTAAACGTCACGCATTATGCAGTTTAAAGAGAATCATTTATGTACTCACGCTATCATCATCTCCAGAATCTGGATTATAGGTGTCACCGCTTCCTCGTCTGTTAATGCACATAATTCGCCTAAAGAGTTCAGCGAGCACAGAACAGATGCCACAGTGTTGCATGTTGTCGAGTGGGAGGGCAGTGCTGCTCGCGGCCCCGCGCAACGGCAGAGCCCCCGCCTACCCGTTGAGCGGTTGCCTGCTGACTGGCACAACCACCACAGAGGCTCGGCTCGGCTCGGACCCGGCGCGGCGCGGCGCGGCGCGGCAGGCGGCGGCGGCGGCGGCGGAGGGCGACGCGTGCGCGACGGGTGGCGGTGGTGGTGGTGGGCGGCCGGGAGGCGGCGGGGCGCGGTGGCAGCGGCAGCGGTGGCCGGTGGAGGCGCCGGCGCGCGCACCGCCTGCGCGACCAGCTCGTCGGTCCCGCCATATTCCTAGTTGCCCCACCTCGCCGCTCTGCGGCCCGCCGCCGGCCTCCGCCGCCGCCGCCGCCTGGCCTAAGCCGCGCCGCGCCGCGCCGCGCCGGGTCCGAGCCGAGCCGAGCCTCTGTGGTGGTTGTGCCAGTCAGCAGGCAACGCTCAACGCGGTAGGCGGGGCTCTGCCGTTGCGCGGGCCGCGAGCAGCACTGCCCTCCCAACTCGACAACATGCCCAACACTGTGGCATCTGTCTTGCTTCGTGAACTCTTTAGGCGAATTATGTGCCATTAACAGACGAGGAAGCGGTGACACCTATAATCCAGATTCTGGAATGATGATAGCGTGAGTACATAAATGATCTCTTTTAACTGCATTAATGCGTGACGTTTAATGTATATGTGTGCGTGGATTGCGACCTACATGCCTTTTCACACCTTCCGTGCCGCGCGCACATAGAACATAACCTATATTTTTCTGTGGTTTTGGTTCGCTATACGCCGTGCTGATAGGAGGGATGCTTTGTGCCAAAAGTGTGGGGTTTTCGAACGTTTACGAGCACGTAAAACACGTAGTGCTTATCGTGTGGCTTTCCAGTAAGCGTTCGTGAGGTATTGTCTTGATAAATAAGAACGTGCTCTCGATATGAATGTGAATAAAACATATACATTAATTGTGACAATTTTAAATATTCGTTGCTTGTAAAAATGAAATCGTTGTGTCAGTTTCGGCATTATAACGAACAAGCATAATATTGTATAAAAAATTTTTATATGGGTTGGTAAAAATGAGCCTCTATAAGTTTTTCGTACGAAGCTAAATGACAGGCCTGAGCCCGGTGCGTTCGCTTGTCTACCCACAACCGTTGCATTTCGCTCTACCAGAGCTGCACGGGATATGCGATCAATAGGTTTAACAGTAACAGTGAACACTTGTCAAAAAAATTGTTTTGGAAAACCGCCACAAACAAACGTGTAATTTGTATTATTGTCTTGTGTGCGAAGTTTTCATTGATGGTTTTTGCTGTCAAACTAGTCGTAGCCGCACGTTACCGTCGTATGGCCTCTGAACGAGATACACGTCCTGTGTGATACTTTTATCAACATTCGCATGCAAACGCCAGCAAAATCTAACACTTTTCCTGCCCGAATCCGCTTTGATAACTTTTAATTTAGTATCACTAGAGAGTATCCTTTGCTGGCGCCCACCCATGGCATTGGCTTTCGCACACTTACAGCTGATCACATTTCTTCGCTCGGGCCACACTCCACTATCGACCGTACGGCTGACGGACCTCTATGTTCGGCCGGGGTTCATCGGCTTCGCTTATCCTACCTATATTCTACCCTGTCTCCTTTGGTGGCACACTGGCTTCGAAAATTAATGTCAGGAGGGCTAATAATTTTGGGTTCATGTGGTTATATCCTCACAATGAAAATGTACGTGACATTTTGTTTTTGAAGTTGGAAACTATTCAGAACGGCCTATTAAATAACATAATTTGCATATACGTTCTTCACAATCTGTAATTCAACAATATTTCTAAGAATATGGCGCAATCAACACATTTCTAATCACTTCTAAAATAATAATTACATTGACAGAATTCTTTTAACCCCGCAATTGTGTAACTTGCCTTATATATCCATGCAAAATGCATGATTATCATTGCATTGTAGTTTGGGTTCTTTGTTACGACTAGGTAAATTTTGTTCTACTGCATCAGGATGTTAAAATTATAAAATTCATTGAATAAAAAAGCGTTTTACTTATTTGCTTTGAGTTAAGTTCATCATTTCATTCTGCCAGTATGCCACAGCAAGTTTCTAAACGATTCAATTTTGGATACGTGAATAATATTAACAGTAGTGACAAATAAAACAAATACTTGTGGAGACCCAAAACGTTAACGATCTATCGTTAATCTTCTAAGTACGCACGCTGCACTGCTGTGCTCCTATGATATGAGCATTATAATCATAATATTTTCTTCTTCGAGTTGCAGGACAAAGAAGTGTATTTTAGAGTAACGATTTTGTCATCTAAAATGTGTCTTTCGGATTAAGACAGTTGTTTTTAATTATAATATCCATATTTGTAGTGCACATACCACCATGTGTTAGATTGCCGGAAATCCTTCAGCCGTATCAAGGTCTCATTGAAACTGAAGCCCGAGTACTAAGATAAGATCACCCCACTCGTTTCCGGGCTTCCTCCAGTCTACGACGTTGTTGCACGCGGGGTACGTATCTGCTGGTATTGTCTATGCATTGTAATGGCTTTTCTAAACACGTCGAACAATCAGGAGGCTCAGAGCAAAGCCAACACAGGTCGCAGTCCTATTCTTGACGAGCTTGTTGTACTGCCGTTTTCACGATGCCGTTCAGCGTGTGAGCAATTGTTGTCAGAACGCCGCGCAGGGCGCGGTGATACCTACTCAGGCCCAGTACAGTGGTTCCCCAACCGGAAGGCGGCGGCGCGGCGACGGCCGCTGACTTCTGCTGACCCGCGGGACCGCCCGCCCCCCCGCCCCCGCGCGCTCTCGTGCCCAGCGCCCGCGCCCCCGCGCAGCCGCCCCCGCGCCGCCGCCCCCCGCTCCCCCACGCTGCGCCGCCCAGCCCCGCCCGCGCCCCCGCCCGCGCTCCCCCGGCCCGCGCGCTCACCCGCGCCGCCCGGGATCCGCTGGCTCGCGCGAGCGCGACCCGGAGTCCCTCACGCACCGCGGGCGGCGTGCGGGGGCTGGCCCGAGCGGGAAGCCGGGGTTGGCGGCGGGGTGGCTGCGACGGCCGGCGCGGGGCTCCGCTCGGCGGCTAGGGGCAGGGAGCGCCACGGGGCAGATGCGTACGCGACGTCGCTTCGTTCAGCGAAATGCGTGCCATCGATTCGATTCTTGGCATTCATGGCGCCCCGCCACCCGCCCACCGCGCGCGCACGCCGCCCGCCGCCAGCCACCGCTTGCCTGCAGCCGCGCGCCTGGCACTCGCCCGCGCACTGCCTTCGCGTCTCGGCCCGCGCCCTGGGGCCTCGAGCGCCGCCTCACCACGTTTCCAACCTCAGTCTTTGCCAGCAACTCGCCATCTGATACTGCACCCACTCCGTCGTCCTTTGCCACAAACTCCCCACACTTCCACTCCGCGCACCCTTCATTGTGGAGGTTCGTTTTATTTCCTCGCCGTTTGTCGGCCTTGGTTTCACGCCATCTCGTGGCCGTTTCTCCTGCCCAGATTTTTCCCAATCTTCTTCTCTTGCTCTTTCAACGGCAAGAGCTCCCCGCGCCACACCGCTGCCTGTTCCGACACTAACACCCAGACAACATCTCGCAGCGCGCCATGCCCTCTCGGCAATTTCCGCACACTTCGCCTTCCTGTCATGTGCCTGCGCGCGCTGCCACGGTCTTTCTCCGTCACCTCTCTCCACTAGTGTCGGGCCGCGCGATCCTTGTCGCGCCCACCCTCGCCGCTTCCGCCACTCGTCGCCGGCTGCCCTCCACGCGGCAGCCGCCGCTCGCTTGCCGCGCTCCCTCTCCCCCTTCGCGCCCTGCGCGGCTCCCGCGGCGCCGCCGCCGCCGCCCCGCGCCCCAGCCGGGGCACACGTCCCCGGCCGGAGAACCTGCTTCGCTCGCGTCTGGCCCAGGCGGCCTCCGCTCCTTCGTCTTCCTTGCCCTCCGTTGCCAGCCGCCGCCGCCTTTCCTCTCTCTCGGTTGGCTTTTGGCCGTAGGGAATTAGCAAACGCCCTAACTGAGGAGAGGGGTCTTCCCCTACTGGCTCCTGGCCGTAAGGCCGTCTCGGCGCCGTCGCTGCCGCTGTCATAATAGCCAACGCCGCCGTCAACCCATCCCTCGCTCGTGTCCGCCGTGCTACGCGAGCGGCCAGCCACCTCCGCGGGTTGAGCCCCCCCCCCGGCAACACGTCGCCGCGTCCTCGTCACCCTCCCCATCTCCATTCGTCAGTCGCCCGCCCCACCGCCGCAACGTCGTCGGTTCGTTCGTTCGCGCCGTGCCTACGTGGAGTCGCGCAGGGAGCGGGTTAGGTGGGCGGGTGCCCACCGGGGCGGGCGCCCGCGGCCGGCGTCGGGGTGCGCGCACAGCGGGAAGTGGCGAAAGAGGCGCGGGACGCCGGTGCGGCGGTGCGCGGCCGTGCCGCCGCCGCGACGCTGCTCGGCGCGGGAGCCTGGAGCGAGACGGGGAAAGGCTCCGGGCGCGAGTATGCGACAGCTCGCATGCGCTCTCCTCTGGCTCGTTCCCTTTAACTAAGAAGCGACCTCGCATTATCCACCGCGCATTGAGGGCCGTTCTCTTCCCTTTGACGCTCTAATCATAAACGTCGCTTCCACAGGGGGACGTCAGGCGAGTCGGCCGACGACCGGCGCGAGCGAGTCGGCTCGCAACCAAGAGGCTGCTTTCCGGTTCCCTGAAGGCGCTCGCTATCGTCTTCGTTCGCCCCTTATTGATTCTTGTTAGGTCCCTCCATTCTTAATTTCTTCGATACTTTCGTTAAATATCTTTCATTTTTTCTAGGCACTCAATAAGGCGGGTTAGAAAATTATTTTGACGAGTTCATATTAATGAAGCCGAGTAGAATCTTCGTGCGTGACTTTTTTTATTTCGTTGTTACTTATGTATGCTCTGTTCTGACAGCTAAGAGCCGAACTCTTTCAAGAAATCGAAATGAAAGTCCTTCTTAAAAATACAGTAGGATAGTATTTTTAATCATGTTTTACGTTGTCTACGTCTTTCGGTGGAGAGCTTAAACTTGTAAGGGTGGTTTTCGTTAATGGATCATTACTGACTTCAGAATATTAATTATATTGTATTTTTAATTAATTTCACATTAATTATCTGCA